GCTGCCTAAGAGGATTCACAACACTTGCTATAGCGGCCTCCATGTTTGGGCCAGATTATTCTGTCACGATATAAGGTCAGGTTCAGAGACCAGTTGCTACAGCAGTTGTAAGGCTTACCTGAAACCAGCAGGATTGGTACACCAGCGGCCCACCCTGGGAATGATGCAGGCTCATCTGAGGTGCGGGGTCTAAGCATCCACCGGTCTTCCCCAGAGCTCCTAATGGTGGAGATGGATTTGGCTGCGTGTGAATGCCAGGTCGCAGATCTCAGGATCACCCCACCAGGGAATGAGTAGGCTGGAAACCAAAAGCGGATCAACAGTTCAGGGATCAAACAGAAGCGGAGTCAGTCACAAGCCAAGGGTCGGTCACCAATGGGAGTAGATAGGATGAGGCAGAATCGTAGTCAGTAGCAAGCCAAAGGTCGGTAACGTAGATGAAGACAGCAGCAGAAACAGTAAGCGGGATATTGGCTGGTAAGGCACAATAATCTGGCAACCAGGAAGTGCAGAGACATGGCTTTTATAGGAAGTTCATGGGAGGAGCAAGGAGTTCAAGGTTCAAGACAAAACAGGGAAAAGGCAGGATCATCCAAAGAATTGTCAAGGGAGCTGTCCAGCATTCCAGGTGGCTCAGTGAGAAGAAACACTGTCTCTCACCGCAGAAGGCTTTGAACCGCAGGTTCAATTCCAGGCTCTGACACTTAGGCTTAAAGTGCTTTCAGAAGTACATAACGCTAAGTCAGCCAGGGATAACTAAAAGGTTTCTTGTGGGCCGTGGTGGCCCTTTCTCCATAAGGACCCCTGTAAGGACTTCAGTAACCAGACCTCACCACAACTACATCTGCTCAAACCTGAAGAAGTTCCATCCATCCTTTGGATAGGCTGCCTTATTCGTCCAAGTGGGACCCTCATCCTCTTCTTCAAGCCACTCTGCATCCAGGCTGTATTCCAGCTCTTTAGCTTGACTCCAGTGACATGTCCCCTGCTATCCAGCCTGATGTTACTGGTTCTCTGTCTACTGTCCAGTTTGGCTCCATAGACTTCCTGCCTGCTCTTCAACCTGACCTTGCTGATCCCCTGACTTGAGGGTTCTGTGCCTGATGTCCAGCTTTTCTCTCATGGCCTGGTGACCAAAGTCCAGCCTGTCTCTAGAGTGGGGGTAGGGGCAGGGCGGGGACGGAAGGAGCAGAAACCCTGGGTGCAATAACTTTCTAGTGAGGGGGGAGTAGGAGATTCCGACTCAGTGCTGACTGCTGCTTAGCCTGGACCTGTGTTATCACCACCTTAGCACCACTACAGTTCACTGTTACAGTCAAAGCTGTGTGCCAAGTGCACTCCACTCCTGCTCCAGCACACTGGAAAGTACACATTCTCTTTCTTGTCAGACGGAGTGATCTCTACCTAACAGATGCTCTCTATTCTCGACCCAGCTTGACATAATGACATGATTAGCTGTGGGGAGGCAGGATGGAAGAGAGAGCAATGCCGGTTCGCTGCATGTGAAGGAACTGTGTGCAAGTAAGGCATTGGCTGCATCCTTGTTTGTAAGGCACTTTGACAGTGTGATAATGTGTGGCTTTTCCTGTAAACTGGCTGGAATGGGTAACTCTTTGGGGAGGTGGAATTAATTACCAATGTTATTAGTAATATGCAGCATGAAAAGGTGGCAGCACATTAACCCCTTCATGCTGCATATTGCTAAGAACTTTGTTAATCACTTGTGGACCAGTGACATACTCGTACGTCACTGGAGTTCAAGTGGGCATACCGGGATGATGCCTGCAGCTGCAGGCATCAACCCAGTACTGTGTTTTAGAGACAACAGTTAGATCTCTTGAAAAGCAATCTTAGGGGCTAATTACCCGATGGATTGCTTTTACTATCAGCAGCAAGAGGGGATGCCCCCCCTCCTTCTGCAGCTTTCTCGGGCTGTCTCATTCCTCTGGGAGACCTGATCAGCCAGCCGGCTGATGATAGGGGTGGAAAAAGACCGGTACCACTCTGTCCACCTCTATGATATAGGAAACCAGAAGCGATGAGTATACATCACTTCTGGTTTCCCTGGATGTAAACAGCACCATTTTTAAAAATGGAAAGTATTTGATTACACTGATCTTGGTATGATCAAGTGCTTTTAAGGGCAGAGGAGGGAACTGTCCTGTCTATTGCTGTCACAACGGATATTCACATTCCTTCTGACAGCAATAAGCGTGATAAAAAGAAAAACAATGTAAAGTAACAGTGTAAAAAAATGTAAAAAAACAAAAATCTTAACGTTTCCCCCCCCCCCCCCCCCCCCCCCCGTGCTTGGGCACGAGGGCAAACGTACGTGTTGGTCCTAAATGCAAATAAACATCAATTGTGTCACACATGTGAGGTATCACCATGAATGTCATATCATGGACAGTAATTCTAGCACCAGAATTCTTGTGTAAATCTAAAGTGGTAACCTGTAAAGGCTTATAAACTGTTGCCTATGGATAGCAAAATGTATATTGTTTGTTACTGTTGCACAATTGAGTGCAATTTTAAAGTGTGACATGTTTTGGTATCCATTTACTCATAATAACATCATCTTTTATATTTTACCAAAAATTGGGGTATGTATTGTGTTTTTTGCATTAAAATTCAAAAGGTGTATTTTTTTCCCAAAAAATTGCATTTGAAAAACCAATGTGCAAATACTGTGGGACAAAAAAAATTGCAACACCCACCATTTTATTTTCTATGGCCTCTGCTTTAAAAGAAATATTAATGTTTGCAGGTTCAAAGATATTTTCTATAAAAAAATTATTGATTGTTAATACATACATATGGTTAATTATTTTTTGTTAACAACCGCTGCTTAGCTGGTGGTGTGTTTAGCATAATTCTCCCTGTCTACCTGTCCACCTGCAAGGTGATTGATGTAGCCAGTCTCTGGGTGGAGACCCAACCTGATTTAAGCCAGCCAAGCCTGCGATCTCATGCTTGTGATAGCGTTGTAACATGTGCTCCAAGTTTCCTGTTTGTCTGCCCTGCCTGTTAGTTTGGATTCCCTTTTTGATGACTTTGGATCGGATATTGAATACACTCAGAACTCAACCTGCCCTGAACCCAGACTGTCACTGGCCACTCTGCCTGTCTGCCAACTGCAAGTACCTATTCACTGTGCTCTGTTCAAGTGCCTGTTCGCTGTGCTCAGTTCACACCTACCCCAGTGTTGTAGCCAGGCACTATAGAATTGTATATAAAACCTCAGGGCTACTTAGTACCAGTACACCTGCTTGCCTTATGGGAAAGGGGGCTGCTATAGGCAAAGAACACAGAAGCCAGCTATAGTGCCTGACCACCTAAGATAGGGGTGGGCATAACGGTTCTAGAGCAAACGTGACATTTACAAAGCAAAAAAGAAATTCAATTGCAGGTAAATTTTTCCCTGCTAACAATAGAATCAATACCCCTCCCCTTGCTGTTTCCCTTACAAAAAAAAATAAGCTGGTGGGGAATTGTAACTTACCAGTAAATGTTTTTTTTTTCTTCCTGAAATGTCACTTTTGGCATGGTATAGTAGATTCTACAGTACCCTTCCAAACCCACATCAGAAACCTTATCCTTGATGTTGGTCTGTCATGGGTTTAAAAGGGTATATCACCCCCTCAAAAAAAAATTTGAGAATGCAGCCTGGCTGTCCAGCACAGAGGGAGGACAAGAGCTCGCCCTCCTAAACCCCCCACTTCCCCCCTCCCCAAGCTACACCAGGTCACATGCCGTTAACAGGGCAGAACCTTATTAATCACAATGACCGACTCCGGTCGACACATTTGCTCCCATCGCTATTCCTTACCAAATGACATGTCATTGACCTAATATGGCCCAACTGTACTGAAGTCTCCTTTGATCCAAACCTTTTCCCCACACTAAATAAAGGTTTGTTTGTATTAAAAAATATATTGTTTTTATTTGTTGAATTAACTGTTTGGATTAGCAAAGACTGTGTTTTTAATGATATACAGTACTCTGCAAATGTTTGACAGGCGTGAAAGAATGCTTTAAATTAAGACACCAATTATTGATTTGAATTTGATTGTTGCTCTGTTCGCTCACTTTGCATTTTGTATATTTTTTTAAAGCATTCTTATATACATATATACAGTACATATATATGTATGTATGTATATATATATATATATATATATATATATATATATATTGACTGCCATTAGGTATTGGGATAAAATCCTTGTACCCATTGTCAGACCCTACACTTCTGCAGTGGGTTCTGGGTTTCTCCTGGTGCACGACAATGCCCGACCTCATGTGGCATTGAGTATGCAGGCAGTTCCTGGAGGATGAAGGAATTGATACCATTGAATGGCCCCCACACTCGCCTGAACTAAATCCGATGCACCTCAAACTGTCCAGGAGCTCAGTGATGCCCTGGTTTAGATCTGGGAGGAAATACCCCAGGACACCATCCATTGTCTCATTAGGAGCATGTCCCGACGTTGTCAGGCATGCATACAAGTACATGGGGGCCATACAAACTACTGAGTGCCATTTTGAGTTGCTGCAATGAAATTTCAGCAAAATAGACTAGCCTGCTGCATAATTTTCTCACTTTGATTTTCGGGGTGTCTTTGAATTCAGTCCTCTGTAGGTTGATCATTTTAATTTCAATCAAATGACGGCTCATCCTTATGTTCCTTACACATTACCCAGTCCATGTCAATATAGATATCCAGTATAATATTTCTCCCCATTGAGATCTGATGTGTTTTTCAAAGTTTTCCTTTAATTATTTTAGGAGTGCATATGTGTATGTGTATATGTGTATATGTGCATGTATGTGTAATATATATATATATATATATATATATATATATATCATATCACACACACAGTATATAAACACACACACACAAATGTTATGGCTTTCATTTCTATTTTAAACTGAATGGGTAAGGGTTTACATATACTTTAAAAGTTCACTTCTGTAAATTATTTTTTTTTCTCAGGTTGTAACTGCTACAAGCTCACTTGCACTGGGGATCAATATGCCATGCAAATCTGTGGTTTTCTTGCATGATTCAATTTTCCTGGATGCACTGAACTATAGACAGGTAATTTACACTGACCTTTTTTTAACACTTTTTAAGATTAACCAGTTTTATTTAGGAAATTTTTTGAGCCCCGTCACACATATTTTTGTGCACTATGGCACGCTCTTTAAGGCAGTGTATTTATGTTAAGTAGGTTGAGAGTTAACCTTAGCTTACAATATGGTAGAGGTTATCGGCACGCTAATAATTTATCTATTTACCTCCTTACTGTGAAAGATATCATCACATGCAGAAATATAGTCAAGGTTTCGGGGCCTCGCAACAGAGTGACACAATATAGTATGACAACCCAATGCACACAACTAATTATCCTGCCAAATAAACTTAAGCCAGCCATAGATGGTTCAAATCTCATCCGGTTCCAGTGTAACCTACAAAGATTCTTGTTCAAACTTTTTATTGGGTAACAGGGTTTAATTACATACAGTGAAGTACTACAAGTAGTACCATATATAGCAAGTAGGTAAATATGAGGCTCAGGGCCGTTAAACAACTATATGATTACAACAACTGTATGCACTGAGTAAAATAACCAAAAATAGAGTAAGGGAAGAAATAAAGAAGGAAGCGAAAGGAATGGAGAATAGTAGAAAAAAAAGAGGGGGAGAGAAAAGGGGAAGGATAGGGCGTGTGACTACCAGGATGGGGGGGGGGGGACAGGACCAAACCAGAGCTCCGAAGCTTCTATCAAGGAAGGGATGCATTAAGGGAGTGTAGAGACTCATCAAATCCCTGAGGAAGGAAGTGGTCAACCCAGGGAGACCAGGTCGATAAAAATTTGGAAATTGTGTCGGTGGGCTCTATCATCGACTGTGTCACTTTGTTCCGGACCGCCTGCACACTAAGCAAGGGGGTCTTCCAGGATTTCGCTATGATTTGCTTAGCGGAGGTTGTAATTTGCAAAAAAATCTTAAACTGGGTTTTAGAAATAGAAGGGGGGCGATGGTTGAGTAGGGCGAATTCTGGAGTTGGTACAAAAGGCTTTTGAAAAAGGGTGGATAATATACGGAAAATATCTTCCCAGAAAGAGTGGGCTATCGGGCAGGACCAAATGTGGAGGTATGTACCGTTCACTGCACAGCCACTAAAACAGTTGGGGGAGTACCCAGGCGTAAATTTAGCGACCCTAGCCAGAACGAGATACCATCAGGATAAGCCCTTATAGTTTGTCTCAACTGCCATGACATTTTGAAAGAGAATTTAGTTGCCTGCCAGATATGATCCCAATCTTCAGGGCTCAGCTGTGAGGCTAGGTCCCTCTGCCACCTGGTGACATGTGAGGGGCGAAAGGAAGGTATGGGGGTCGAGAGTTGAGCATGAAGAATAGAGATAAGGCCACGTCTATGAGGATCTTTGTTACATGCACTTTCAAAGGGGGTCATTGATCTAACGGAACATGCGGTAGTGGAGAGAGGGGAATAGAAATGCTTCAATTGTAGGTAGCGGAAAATTTCCAACATAGGGAGAGAGTGAGATTCACGGAAGGATGGGAAGGAATGAAACCCGGAGTTAGTCAAGAAATGGTGGGCTCTTAAGAAATTAGCAGAAGACCAGAGATGAAAGGAGCGAGGAGTGGACCAAGCTGGGGGAAAGCTGGGTTGTGAAGATGAGATAAGAGAGGGTTGTGTGGCGATTGGAGGGAATATTTGGATTAGAGTTTGTCCCAGAGTGCTATAAAGTGGGAGGTTATTGGATTCCGGATCCCGCAACGATCGGAAGGATGAAGCCAAAGTAGGTTAGCTAATGAGAGGGGATCAATATCAATTGACTCCAAGATTACCCATTGAGGGATTTCATATGATGCATGATACTGTGGCGATTGGGCTAGGTGGGCTGCTTCGTAATATTTTGTGAAATTTGGGTGTCCTAGACCTGCTTTCAATTTTGGTAGGTGGATAGTGGAGCGGGGGACTCGGAGTCGATTTGAGCCCCAAATGTAAGAGTGAGCTTGGCATTGAAGCCGGGACAGGTATGGGAAGAACTCGGAAGAGATAAAAAAATCTTGGGTAGAATAGACATTTTAACCACTGTTATCCTACCTAGCCAAGCTAATGGGAGAGAGGACCAGTTGCGCATTAAACTAGTAAGGTGGGCGAGCATTGGGAGGTAGTTAGCTGAGTATAAATCAGACAGAGACGCCGTCAACTTGATACCTAAATAAATAAGGAATAGCGTGAGGGGACCACGCGAAGGGAAGAATTTGCCGGAGATGGAGAGAATCTTGGGGGAAGAGTGAAATGTTCAGGACTGTAGATTTTTGGGGATTAACCTGGAGACGAGAAATGGTGCCAAAGTCATGGAGGAGCCGAAGTAGTGGCAGAGCGGAGGTGAGAGGGGAGGTCAAAAAGAGTAGTACATCATCTGCGGATAAACAGAGTTTGTGGTGGGACCCGTCAGCCTCTATGTCACAAATATTAGGGTCTACCCGAATCAGAGGGGCTAAGGGTTTTGATTACTAGGGTGAAGAGGAGTGGAGATAGCGGACATCCCTGACAGGTACCACAAGCTATTGGGAAAGAGGCCGAATTGTGACCCATATAACGAACTTGGGCAGAAGGGTTGCAGTAGAGTGAAGAGATCCAGGTCAAGAAATGAGGACCAAAACCCCATCGGCGTAAGATATAATGGAGGAAAGGCCAGGAAACAGTATCAAAGGCTTTTTTAATATCTAGGGATAAGAAGCAAGGTGGGAGAGAAGAGCTGCACGCCGTATATTGTCCCCTGCTTGTTGAAAGGGAATAAAACCAGTCTGATCATTATGTATAAGAGAGCCTATAATGGGGTTTAAACGAGTGGAGAGAATTTTGGCAAGGAGTTTGACGTCAATATTGAGAAGGGAGATCGGTCTATAATTAGACCAGGCAGAGTCATCGGAGTGTGGTTTCAGTATCATCGAGATGATAGCAGATACTGTCTCTGGGGTAAAAGAATGGCCTGAGAAGATGGCAGTAAAAGGCTTTAGTAAGGACAGAAGAAAGTAGATGAGCAAATTTCTTGCAGTAAGAGGCTGAAAAGCCGTCTGGGCCTGGGCATTTTCTAAGCTTGAGTTCCTTAATTGCGAACAGAACCTTGAAATCCAAGATCGGTTTCTCCAGTATTTCGAGGTGTTGGGTGGCCAAGGTCGGAAAGGGAAGATGGGCGAGAAGATTGTCAGCTCGGACGCCGGATTGGTCGAAGGGCTCAGTCTGGGAGTACAGTGCAGCTAGGTGTTTATGGAAAATACGGAGTATGCGGACAGGGTTGCTAGTATAATCTCCGCTGGATAGCTTAAGACGAATGGGTTCAGTGGCATGGTCTAGTCTACAAAGAGAAAGAGCTAAAAAAGTATCTGGTTTGTTAACCTTAGTATAATATTTATGGCGTGCCCTGCATAAAGAAAATTCAGCTTAGTCTGTCAGGAAGAGGTCGAGTTCAACACGGGCTCAGGTGACCTAAGGAGGGAAGAAGCAAGGTTAACAAACAATTTACAACTTAACAAAGGTAACATGGGATTTAGAAAACAAAACGACCTGTGCGGTCAGATGTGGTGGCATTAGGAGCACAGGATTAGGGGGAGGACCCGGTGTGGGTCGGTGGGATACAGAGGAAGTCCACCAGGCCGATTGGTAGTAAAAGGGGGAAAGGGAGTAGCAGTAAGGAGATAGGTGAGGACGAAGATTCTTCGTGGAGAGAGAGTCAAAAATATGATCGGCTGATGATGGTTGAAGGAGGGAACTGGTGTCCACAATGGGGTGTGGGTGAAAAAATCAAGAGGGGCGAGTCCCGAAAACTTTCAGGTGTGTGAATTGAACAGAGGAGATTAAGATGATTATAGCAGGATTCAGTCCATGGTGTATTGAGGGGCAGGTGCTGGAGAGATGAAGCGCCCACGTTTATGCGTGGCGGGTTGACCTGTTGCTGAAACGGAGTGGTGGGCTTTCTGGGGTGAGCAGGAGGCAGACCTTCTGGAGCATCTGAGGGAAGATGGAGCTGAAGGTGGCGGAGTGTGCCAAGTATTTCCTCGGAGGATCTACAGGTATAGTCACGGGACTTGTAGGAAAAGCGTACCGCAAAAGGAAAGCTCCAGCGGTAGGTGATGCCGTGCTGGTGGAGAAGTTGCAGGTGGGGCTTCATGGCTCTGCGTTTAGCGATGGTGGCCGGACAGAGATCATTAAACAATTGGTAGGAATGGCCTTGGAAGGTGAGGGTATTAGCATTCCGAGCCGCTTGGAGAATCTGTTCTTTGGTGTGGAAATAATGGAATTTTGCAATATTGTCTCGGGGAGGGCCGTTTGGTCTGCGTGGGGCTAGAGCATGATGAACCCTGTCTAGCTCCAGACGTTCGATCGGGATTGAGGGAGAGAGCTCTTGTAGTAAGGCGGTTGTCGTAGAGAGGAGAGCAGTAATAGTTTCAGGGAGTCCGCGGATTCGGATGTTAGAACGGCGGGCCCCCTGTTTTTGAAATCCTCAAGGTGGGACTGAAGCGTTAGGTTTTCATCACGCATTGCCGCGAGTTTGTCTGAATAAGTGTGAACTTCTGCGTGCAGGTTGTCAACCCTGTGTTCTAGCTCAGCAGTGCGGATACCCAGGTCACAAATTTCTTTAAAAAGTTTGCCAGTAATGTGGTCGGAGGTCTGCTTTAAAGCTCTGTGCAGCATTTTTTCAAATTGTTTGAGTAGATCATGTTGCATTTTGGGTCAGGGCTAGAGGGGTCTGTCATATGTAATGGGTGTAGTGTCCCTTTAGCTGTGCTGGTGTTAGACTCACCCTCTGAGCTGCTATGGTCTGGATCTGGCTGCAACGCTGTGAAGGACATGGACAGGGAGCATGCCTGCTTCCCTGTAGCTGTGGAGCTGGAGGCCCGAGCCAGGGCTTCCTTAGTGGGTCTCACCTGACCCTGGTGTTTTGCGGAACCTGGTCCATTTTGCCGGGTCGCAGGGATGTCGCTTATGTTAGTATGGCTGTGGGGGGGGGGGGGGGGTTGCAGAGATCAAGGGGGCCGGGAGCTGTGTCAGTACGGC